GCCCTGAGTGCGCCGTTTGTTCACACCCAACGTATAAATAACAACACCGATCAGCGGTTTTTCATCATTGGTGCTTTCATTGAGAGGGTTTCATTGAGAGGTGCTGATCGTGTTTTTATTTATCCTATCTTTTTCTTTTTCGGTTTTGCCTTTTGCTGAGGGGACCGAATTTTTGTTATTTTTTGTTCGAAATTTTCGAATATTTTATTCGAATTTTTCAATTTTTTTCGTGAGTTAAAAAAAAAGTGTCATCTTGTTAGTCCTTTGTTTGATTTTTTGTTCGGTTATTACCTTTTGTTGAGGAGTCAAATTTCTTTTTTGGTTTGATTTTTTGAGTCTTGTTGGGGGTTCGATTTTTTGAAATTCTCCCTATTATTTTTGAATTTTTTAGAGTTAAAAAAAAAAAAAATTATGTCTTACCCACCAATGGATGAGTTGGATTGGAAAGATCTGGAGATGTTGGAAGGTTTGGAGAGAGAGCTCACACCATGGGAGAAAACATATCTTGACGAGCTTCATGAGCGAAAGAACATTGAAGAGTACGAACGTCAACTCATGGAAGCCCGAGAAGCAATGGTGATCGATGCTCATGACCATGAAGATGAAAGGGAGCTTAATTTCTTAATCCTTGAGGACAAGGAAAGTCTCGAAGAGGAGGGGAATGATACGGAAGTGGTCATCAACCCCGGTGAGTCCGACAATGATGATGGCGATGGTCTTGATATTTGGTTGAAAAACATGTTGGAGGAGCCATCTAGTCCTATTTACCGGCCATCATGTGTACGGGATTGGCAAAAAGGTTGTGGCCCAAAGCTGAAGTCGAAGGTAAGGAAACGGACGACCAAGAGGCAACGCAAGGCAAAGGCTCGAAAAGCAAGTCAGTGTTGGTGCAAGCCTTGTGTGAAGAAAAGACGAGCCCAAAGAAAGGAGGCTAAAAGGCGTGGTTTGCGATGGGTTAAAAATGGATGGTGGATACCGGCGGAAGATTGTGTGAGGTTAAAGGGTTGGGATCCATGGCCAGAGCCGACGGGAACGAGCGGTAACAAGGATGACGACTGTGATCGGCTAATGGGCGAATGGCGCGCATCGGCCCATGATGCGCGCGGTTGGACCAAACAGGATGAACATGGGTACACGGCTATCGGACAGGCCACGGGCGTCGACTGGGATGCGTTGGCGTTCGGCAGCACAAGAAAGGGCGCACGACTAGAATACGAAGAGCGCGCATCGGGTGATGATGCGCGCGATTATGTGCCAGGCAAGGAGTCGGGCGCAGGGGCGCGCGGGCGTTGGCTGGGACGCGTGCGAAGAAGCCGGCAATGGCGCGGGGCTCGCGGACAACAGCGAGTGGATATACGCGGGCGATGCGCTGGCAGGAGCATACCGCGACCGCACAGACTTAGGAGTACCGAGCGTAGGCGCATACGCGCGGGAGACGGGCAGCGGATGCAAGGCGCGCGCTGGGCACGCAAGTGCGGGTGATGCGAGAAGAAACCGAGACCAAGCGGGTGTAGGAGTGCTGGGCACGGATACGCACGCGCGAGCGGGAATTGGCGTGGATGAGGTGTGCGCAATGGGCGACGCGTGGGAACAGCGCGTGCAAGAGACCGAGTCCGCCAAGGAGTGCGAGACGCGCACATGCGCGAGAGGCGGTCATGAGGCGGCGGGAATTTTAGGCGGCCGAGAGTTTTGTTGGGAAGAAATTACTTGTGCATCAAGATGCTTGGTGT